TCATTTAACAAAGGTATATTTCCCTATTGACTCATTGTCATTTATATTGATATAAGAAAAAACTAGTTTTACTAAATTAGATTGCCTGACTGGTTAGTGTTTTAAGCAGCTTTAAATTGTAAGATGTGCTAGTGAACAAGAAATTTGTGTTGTACTTACCTTATAGGAGTAGTTTGGCATAAGCCTTTTAGATCTCTTTAATTGGACCTCAGAGAACAGAAATGGAATATGAACATCCTATCAGAGAGTGGAGATGTTGAGTTAAAATGTGTAGTACATTTCGTTCTGTTGGTAAGTGTCTTTGAGAGAGGTGTTTCTATTTGTTATTTATTTTGTTTCTTGAAAGAACATTTGGAATTATGGGGCCTGACTGTAGAAATAAATAAGGAATTATAGTTTCCAGAATTTGGAAAGGATTTCAACAATTTTTGTGTGGTATATAATTTTTTCTTTAGTCAGATATGTATTGGCCTTTTGCTTGGCTGAGTGTTTTTTTTGTGTGCTTATTTTGTTTTGTTTTCAATAGTGCTAACACTATTTTTCCCATTCCACCTTTGCCTTTTCCCTTCTCTCTGCAGGGTTGCCATGGTCATTCCCCGGATGGCTAGGAAAAGGTTTCAACTGGCCTTACGTAAATCTTCAGCTGACTGCCTACTATGTCGTGACCTGGATTGTGGGCGCCAAGCATTATCATGATTTGGACATTGATTATGTTGGAGTTAGTAATATATTTAAAATATGATTCATTTTCACACATTTATTTGTAATATTCAAAAGTCATTTGAAAATATGGCACTTTGTTGATTGACCATTTTGTGTCATGAGTCTAATCTGTTGCCATCTGGTAACAACACAGATTAACTACATGTGACCTTTTATTCTTCCTCTTGGCTGATTCAGATTCTTTCCAATTTTGAAAACTGTACTGTTTTTTTTTTTTTTTGTACCAACTCAACTCAAATTCTTCTTCTTCAAAGCTTTCCCTAGATTCTCTAGTTTTTACAGTACCATGTTTCCTGTAAAGTTTAATGATTATTTTCATTTTATTCTATTGTTGAGTCTTCTGTTGTCCTAAACCAAGATTTGGCAGACTTTTTCTTAAAGGGCCAGAGGGTACATAGGTTTGGGTTTGAGAGTCAAAAGGCAATATTAAGGATCAAGGATCTTTTTTAGATATTATATAACCATTTAAAACTAAAAATTAGCTCTCAGGCTGTACAAATATAAGCAATGGGCCAGATTTGGCAGACTGGCTGAAATCTGCCTCTACCTACCCCAAACTGTTATTTAATACTTTTTAATGATTTAAAAAGTATGAAACATAATATCATGTCTTTCCAGCTTGTCTGTTGGCAGGCTGGAGGCATGCCTCAGACTGCATTGTACGCCACAGAGCCTTACACATGCACATAGTGGGTCTCCATAAACATTTGCTTATGATATGCCATTTGTCAAAACTGGATGTAAAAGTTTTCATGCAGTCATGACTTAGATTATTAGCAAGCAATTATTGAGCTGCTTCTGTGTTTCAGGAACTGTCACTTAATGTGCTAGGGATACAGAGATTAATAAGCTCTTGAGTTCAGTGAGACAGGTAGACACTGGAACAGATAAACTACAGTATTACAGGCTGATACACGACATGAGGACGAAACAAGAATACACTTGTTTTTGCTATCCTTTTCCAAATTATAACTGAAAATCAGTTTGTATTTGACAACTTTCTTAAATGTCAGGACATTTTTAACCCATAGTAAGACTAAGTGTATGTTTGGGTCGAATAGCTTTTTATTATGATACAGTCACATTTAGAAATGTTTCTGGTGAATAATGGGTGATTCAAATCTCATTTAGACTCTTGATATTCACATGCTATGGTGAGGAGCTTCTTCGATAAGAAACTCTTTCCTTCATCATTGGAGTAAAAGAATTATAACACTTCAATTATAGCTCATCTCTGTTATTAATCTTTTCAACTGCAAAATGAAAGTTATAGAAGTTCTATTTCAACTCTAAAACTGCACACACTTCATGATTCTAAACCTAAAAGATTTATTATGTTCCTTTTATCCATCCTCGTTAAGAGTTTGCTTTTGTGATCTAGAATGTCATTGTGATTCTCTGTGTGTGCTTAAAAAGATTCCTTCTATACAGTGTAGTTATTTATACTTGGCTTTCATGTGTGCCTGTAGGGATCTTGTCAGAATTATCACCACAATCTCCATATCTGTTAGTTCTTCAGTGCTTAGTATAGTCTTTGCACACATTGCAATGTCAATTGTAGCTGAATGAATAAATGAATATTCCATTGTTGGACATCTCTGGAATAAAAGACTTTTTGAAAAATATCCATAAAATATTTTAGGTTTTAAAAAATAATAATTTTAAAAAGTTATGTTGTCCTATAAATATCTATAAATTCTATGGAAGGATATTCCATAAGGTAAGAAAAATGTCTTATGAGATAATATGAAAGATGATGGGAGAAGTGTTATTAATGATAATGTCTACTTTCTAACATTTAAAAACTTTCAATTCAGACTTTTTTGACTTTTTGTTTTGCAGATTTGGAATGAGAGGACATGTGATACCAATTATATCAAGGTCTGTACAACTTTAATGTCTTTCTATCATTATCAGTGAGTAATTTCTTATTGTTCTGCTCACAGAAATTAGTAGAAATTTGTAGTAGAGACACTGTATTTTTTACACCACAGTTATTTATTTTGCTAGTTGTGACATCAAATTCAAGCAAAATCTTAATAATGTTTATATTCCTGATATTAAAGCATATGTAATTCTTCGTGAGCAATGAATTGCCTTTGTCTGAGGAGTTGTGTTGAATTTTTCTATTTTAAAATTAATTTTGGAATTATGATAAACACAAAAACAATTGTATCATTTTAGAATTCTAGGACTTCAAGAAATGTAGCTTTTTTTCTTTCATTGTTTTATGTCCAAGTTTATAGCATATATTCTCATTCTTGTTTTCTTTGGAATGCCTATTATATGGGTTATATAACACTTCTTTTCGTGATTAGCAAAGAGGTAGCAACTAACATTTGCAAAAATTGTTATTTTGGAGCTACTTTCCCTAAATATTTAAGTCCATTTAATTCTCACAACCTCCCTTATGAGGTAACTACTATTATTGCTATTTTCCAGGAAAGGAGAAACTGAGAATAAAAACTTCTTCTGTCATTAGAAAACAAATGCAGTTGTACTTTTCATGTGGAGCTATTCTGAGTTTCGTTTGTCTTTTTTTGTGTCTTTTCCCCAAGAAATATAATTTTGTGGTTATATTTTGTTCCAGTTTTAAAAAAATTTTTCTTTGACTGTTTTGTGTTTTTAAGTAGACAATATCCAATACATTTTTTCATTCATTCATTCAGTGAATCAGCAAGCATTCATTCAGTCAACACCTAGTTTGTCAGGCATTGTGCACATGGTTGGAATGCAAGGATAAGAACTACTGTTTCTGCCCAAAAGGAGTTCATATTGGAGCAGGGTACAGAGTCAGATATGGACAACTAAAATATCAGTCATAATTTCTCTAATGGAATAATGAACATGCAGCATTCTCAGAAGGCGCACAGAGGAGATGGCACCTCTGCCTGGGTTGATTAGGGCAGTCTATTAGAGGAGGTAACAAGTAGTTGGAATCTTCATCAAGGGGTGGATAGGAATGCCCCAAGTTGCTAAGGCAGGGGCATAGCATGTGCAAGGAAGTGAAGATTGAGAAGTAAAGGGATTTTGGGGAAAATGAAGTCATAAAGATAGATTAGACAAAGGAGGAGAAGTGGGAGCACCAGGCAGAATCAGTAAACGAATATGTTCATGGGAGTACTGGCACATTTTAACCCATCTGTATGTGTAGGGGAGGAGAGAGCATAGATTTGAGAGGATCTATTGCAGCCAGAGCCAGATAACTCAAGGTCAACTCCAGGCTGCAGGCATTACCAGTATGGTGGTGGGAGTGTGGTGGGCAGTGGAGCTAGTATAAATTGATACACAAAGATTGTTAGTGGAAAGTCATGAATACTGTGAGCACAGGTCTGATGAGAGCAGCAAGAGGACAGAGCAGAAGCCAAGTTAGTGCATATGTAGCATATAACCTTGTAATCACATAGATGTTCCACTACAGGGTCTTTGTTGAGACAGGTGATGAATTTTTTATTGACCCTAATTTGACATTTCAAAGCTTATGTTTTATTTTCTTGTGATTATACAGTGTCTCTCATGTTCATTTCATTTGAGGGAAGCATTAAAAGTATTAGAATCTGGTTTCCATTTTCTTTTAAACTAGTGATCTAGTTTAAATATCATATATAAAAAGAATTTTTACTATTTAGAGTCTGTTGCACACTAGTGCATTCTAATTCAACTTATCTGGTTTGAAAGACTAATTGTTGCTCTAGACTCATTGTCAGTGTTTTCAACAGTTCAGACTTCATTTTTTTTCCCTCTTAACCTTTAGTTTTCCTGCAGTAAAATGTGTCAGGATATAAAAGCTTTTAGTTTGTGTTTGCCATTTTTGCAGCAGGATTTTATTGGGATTTGTTAAAATGCCTGTTGTGAAGAGCTCGATAATGATGAGTGGATGTAGGTGCTGAGGTTGGGTAACCTTGATGAATATATATCCCTTATAGTATATTAAGATGACCCCATTACTGAGCAGTGGGCTCTCTGCCTGACATACATAGAAGCCAATACTATGGCACCAGCTTTTGAGAAAATAAAAAGTTTTATTGTGAGTTGATTGGCAAGGAGACAGGAGGTAATGCTCAAATCTGTCTCCTGCTCAGCTGTGAGCAGGGTCAGGTTGTGTATAGGCAGAGTGTAGCAATGAGGGAGATAGGGAAATGCAACAAAGAGTGATCTGAACGGGTCACACAATTAGGTAATGTCAGGTCCTTAGCTCTAGAGTCCATACTGCAACAAACTGGGCACCCCTTGCTTCTCAATTTGGTTCCTGTTCCTCAATCTGAGCCCTTAGACTCCACCTATGGTTGGCTTTTTTTGTTCCTGTTGGCTCTAGGGTCTGACTAGGGCATGCTTGGTTTATCTGGGCATGCATGCCCAGGTTGCAACCTGGGCCTCCATGGTAGCTGAAAAATACCTCATCACCGTTACATTTTATTACAACATCGAACTAGATTGGACTAGTTCTACAGTTGAAACCTCTGGGAAGAATAGGGTTTGTTTTTAAGAGTAGAAATAAATATAATACAAATAAGCAATTTATGTAAAGATGACAATGGTATTCTTTTAAGTTTATTTTTTGCTGCTTACATTATTTTTATGATTTATTCTGGTTTTCAATGGTATTCTTAGGGTTCTTAAATTATTTGGAAAATCCCGTTTAGGGTAGGGGATGGAAATGGATGTGTGAGTCTCTGGACCCTCATTCAGTTCAACTAGAATAGCTTTCATTTATTTTATAAATAAAGCTTCCATCTAAGCTTTTTCTGGAAGAGAAGAGTTTTACAATGAAAACATGCATCTGAAAATACATTAGATAAGACCTTCCTCAAAGAATGCTGCTATTCACACTGACTTTGGGATGGAAACTTATTTAGAAATCACAGCTTATAGACTTGTACATTTTGGAATGTTATTCAAATACACTGTATAAAGAAGCAAGCAGTCTTACTGGGGATTGTCTAGGAATGGGACTGGAAAAACTAGACACATCCATAGTGATATGTGCAAATTTGACTGAAGTTGCTCTTCCTCCTCTCTGTAAGAATAAGAGAGAACTTCAGCGTGATGAAACTCAAGATTGATCTACTAGAGCAGTGGTCTCTAACCTTTTTTGGCACCGCGGACCCGTTTCATGGAAGACAATTTTTCCATGGGATGAGGGTGGGGTGGGGGGGCAACGAAGAGAGGTTGGGGTGAGGTGGAGCTCACTTGATGCGAGAGTAGGGGGGAGGGAACTGATGAGGAAGGGAATGGCTGTAAATACAGATGAAGCTTTGATTGCTCATCCACTGCTCACCTCCTGCGGTGCGCCCCCTACCTGCTCCCTTGCCCCTGTTCCTAAGTTTCATGGAAGACAGTTGTTCCACAGACAGGGTGGGTGGGATGGCGACAGAGCTCTGCTCCCCAGTCCTTAAATGGGGGTCCCTAACCGCGGCTTGGGGACGGCTGTGTTGGGGGATAGGCATTCTCAGTCCTACTGAATTTTAAGAGCTGGTCTCTGTTTTCTAATAAGGATCTGTTCATATTGCTTCCGGGGTGCCTTAGGGCCCAGCTGACCCTGTTGGAAAGATGAACTTGGATTGCCACTCTGATTCTCACCATATTTTCTAAAATGCCATAGTACATCTGTTTTAAGAAACATCGACTGAAAAGTACACCATGGATTTAATGAGAGCTTTTATTATTTGCCTCTTTTCTAAAAGAGCACATCATTTGGAAATTTCTGAAGTTCGGAAAAGTTAGCATGTGAAAAGAGAGCTTGTGAAATTCTTTGTTCTTTCTTAATTATTTGGACAATATTATTGAGCTCCTGCTTCTATGTGTTAGACAGTTCCAAGTGCTTGGGGGCCTAGTGGAAAGCTTATTTGTATCCATTTATCAAGAACTACTTTTGGTAGGAAATCTGACCCTCTTGATCCTGGGTAAAATGATGTTTCCTTTTCTCTGCTTTTGGCAGTCCACTCAATTTGGTATGTACCTGCTTTCTGATTTTCTAGTACACCCTGTTAGTTTTGGTGTCTTGGTGAGTGTGTTTGCCACCTAAGGGTGAGGACTCCAACTTGTGCTTCTTTTAGGGTCCTCAGGGAGCCCAAGTATAGTATCAAGTACCAAAGTAGGAGCTCAGTGTGTGCTTTGTCACTTCATTTCCTGTTAGAATTTAGCCTGTTACTTTTAATTTTTGTGGGTAGACAGTCCTACAGGTAGATTTTATTTCCTCTCCTGTTTATAAGTGTGAAATACTTGAGAGTAAGAATGGAATATTTCTTATTTCTACTTCCAGTATGATGTAAAATATTAAGAATTTCAATACCTTCAATAAAGGCAGAATATTTAAAGACATTGGAAAATGCTTAAAACGATAAGTTAAAGCATTTTACTGGTATATTTAATAAGATTCCCATTTTATTATGTTGTCTGCACAGGAAAAATTCCTGTAAGAATGCATAGCAAACTAATAGTGGTTATTTCTGGCTAATACTATTTGACTATTTTTATTTCAGTTCTCCCCCCACCCCCAGATATTTCTGTGGTTAAACATAATTTTAAAGTCAGAAGGAAAATCCTGCAAAACATTTTATCCCTTGGTTTTTTTTTTCTTTATACATTCTCATGAACTAGGTTATCTTAATGATAATGCTTTCATTTTCCAGTGGAGGCACATTTCTATTGAGAAATGATATTAAAACTATTGTGCAGAATGCTGATTTTTGAAGATATATGAGCAGTCTTGGTCATAATTCAAAAGCTAAAAACTCAACTTGTAACCTTTCTTGTATTTTGTTTATCATTCCAAAAGGTGTTAAGAAAAATGCTGAACTATCAAGGTCTCCAGCGAGTGAAAATCATAGCAAGTGATAATCTCTGGGAGCCTATTTCTGCTTCCATGCTGCTTGACGCCGAACTCTTAAAGGCGGTTGACGTTATAGGGTAAGGAATGTTTTACTTTGAAAACCAGCAGTTTCTGATTGCTTGCTGTGGGTAAGACTGTGCCTTTGTTTTTGCCACCTTCTCCCCATTTGGTTACACTCTCAGAAGATAGCTGTCTTGTATTAACTAAAGCATGTATAGCTCATAATTTGTTACTTTCTCTTCGAATATATGTATTTTGGGATCTTTCTATGACAATGAAATGTATTGGTAACTTTTTTAAAAATATGTTGATGTTTGGGGTAATACAACAGGGTTTTGTTTAGATTGAGGGGCAGAGTAGTGCTGTATTTAATTTTCAAAATTATGAAGGCAATGTTGTGAAATTATTTCCTAATTCTTAGGTTTCCTGTGGCTGGGAGTTTTTGCATAAACACTTTTGTAAAGGAATGGTTTGGTGTGATCATTGACTGTAACTTATATTATGTCTCCTTAGTAGTATAGTTTTGACCTTACTCCTTAATCCATTCTGTATTTCTTTAAAATTTTCTTCATCTCTTTATTTCTGTTTGCTTTTCTGTAATTTTATTCTTACTCTGCTTTCCCTTATTGTGTTTTCCATAGTGTCTGTTCTGTCTTATGTTCCTTCTAGTTTAGTCTTCATTTCTAAAATGTTCTTTCTTTTTAAAAAATAATTCTACCATAATTCTCTCATTTTAGTTTCCTGTATCTTTGTTGTCTAATAATTCATCTTAAAATTTTTTAATTTAACTATAGCATAAATACATAAATATATTAAAATATGCAAATCACAGGAGTATAGCTTAATGAATTACAATAAGGCGAACATACACTTTTATAACCACCACCCAGAAAATTATCAGTACCCAAGAAACTTTCCCCTTGGAAATCTTTCTAATCATTAACCTTTGTTTTTACCCTAAAGATAACTACTACTCTGAACTCTAACACCATAGACTATTTTGCCTATTTAAAAACTTTCCTTAAATGACATCTTATAGTGCCTGTTATTTTGGTCATCATTATATTTTTAAGATTAACTCATGTCACCAGATGCAGATGTAGTTCATTTTAATTGTTTAGCATCCAGTTGTAGGAATATACCACAACTTACCTGTCTATTCTTTGTCAATGGTCATTTGGATTGGCTCCATTTTTTGGCTGTAGTGGTATATTGGAATTTTGTTCAGGAGAGGTCTATTTCTTGGCTCCCACCTCCATAGGAAGAGTATACTTTGCTGCCCCAATCATGTTGTGCTTGGCTTATGTTGTATCTGAAGATTTCTGTCTTGCAGTTACAGTGCTTTGTGGGGTCCGTTTCCTCTGGGCCCCGTCTCCTGCTGCCTAAACGTTGTTTCTCCCTCACTCTGAGTGTTGCTGCCTTATTCACTTACTCAATTTGGATTCTGCTTCAAGCAGCTTATTTTCATGGTGAGGCTTTTCTATTCCCAAAGGGATTGTTTGCTACCTTTTTCTGAAATTGTTAACGGCTTAAGCCTGTATTGTCTAATACAGTAGCCACTAGACATTGGTTTATGGAGCACCTGAAATGTGGCTGATCTGAATTTAGGTTTGTTATAAGCATAAAATACTCACTGAATTTTTAAGATTTAATATAAAAAAAGTAAAATATGTATAATTGTTTTATTTTGATTACTTGTTGAATGATGATATTTTGCATATATTGAGTTAAAGTATATCAGTCATTAAAATTAATTCCCCTATTTCCTTTTGCTTTTTAAATTAAATTAATTTTTTTCATTTATATGTTTTATCATGGTAAGAATCTTTTGCTGTTTTTTAATGTGGCTACTAGACAATATAAAATTACGTGTGTGGCTCACGTCACATTTTTATTGGATAAACCTGGTTTAAACTGTCACAGTATTATTGTGTTCGATCTCTTAGTGAATTCACTATTTTTGGCATTCACCCCCAACTTCAAGCTTGGGAAGACATTTCCAATTTCATGAGTTGTTATTCAGTGCTCCCGTTTAGGGTAGGGCCTGCTCGTTTAGGGGTGAGTACCTACAAGTTCCCTTTCACCTCCACAGTTTCTATAGACCATCTGCTGATCCTGGGCCAGTCCCGATGCTGTGGATCTCCTGGGGATTCCCTATCAGCTAGTTTTGATGAGGATATTATCTATGGGGTTTTTCCCCCCTCATCTGGTTGGCTTGGTTTCAGGAGGAGTACTAGGGAGTTTCAGAAACTGGGCTACTATCACGATCTGCCTTGTCCAGAAGTTCTAATTTTTTAACATATAAATACATTGCTTTGTTAAGAGACACTATAAAGTTGGTTTACTGTCAATGATCTTAATTTTATTTGTCATTGAAGTTTGAAAAACCATACTGTGAAATGATAGAGAAATTTTACATAAACAATATTATATTCTTACAGAATATGAATTTTGTTATATTAGCAATACATTTGGACATTGAGAGAGACCCAGATTTAAGGATCAGTCTGTCCTTCTTTGCTCAAATCATGTGCTCAGGTTTTTAATGTAATAACAGTTTCATCATTTTCTGAATGAGGGCTATACCTCTTATTTCTATAACTTCAGTAGAGATATAATTTCAGATTATAAAAATAATGTGCGTTCATTGTAGAACATTTGGAAAATATAGGAAACTGTAAAAATAGAATTTACTCATAATCCTAACATCTATTGCTCATTGGTAACATAATAGCTTACTACTTTCCAGGCTTTTCTTTTTTTTAATATACAAATATATTTTAACCAGATACACCAAATACACATTTGGCTGAATGAAAACTAGTTGAGTCTTAAAAATTAATACTAGGCTGAGGCACCAAAGCTGAATATCATGGTCATAGAATGAAGTTGTGAGATATAAGAATAAATGTAAAATGTAAAAATGTATTAAATTTATATTATTAAAAACATTAGTAGTCTGATTTTCCAAGTTGGGCCTTTTAGTGCCAAAACAATAATTTCTTAACCTTGTTAGGTGCTAGGTTGCTTTTGGGGGCCTTTTTGATGTAGATTTGCAATACCAGATAGATGCCTGAGTTCAATGACTCAAAAATCCTGGTGGGACATTTTTCTCTAATACTTCTTTTTATATATTCTGTATAGGATATTCTTTTCTTACTCATCAAATCCTGGGATGCCAAACTGATGTTGTGTTCTAATTCATCTTCCCAAACAGGATGTTTACTTCAAAGATTTATGACCTAAAATGGCATTAAGTAACTAAAAAGTAAAACAGGTCTTCAAAATAATTCTTTTTTTTTTGAGACAGAGTCTCGGCTCTGTCATCCTGGGTAGAGGGCAGTAGTATCATCCTAGCTCACAGCAACCTCAAACTTCTGGTCTCAAGTGATCCTCTTGCCTCAGCATCCTGAGTAGCTGGGACTACAGGCATGCACCATGATGCCTAGCTGATTTTTCTATTTTTAGTAGAGATGGGGTCTCGCTCTTACTCAAGCTGGTGCTGATCTTGAACTCCTGAGCTCAAGCAATTCTGCGTCAGCCTCCCAGAGTGCTAGTATTGTATGCAACCATTCTTTTATTGTTATGGATACTACTACACCAAACTACAAAGATTAGAATTATTATTAATATATAATCCAATCACCATTATTCTGCCCACATTATTAACTATTTTGCTAAATAATTGTTGACCTAAAAAGTATACACTCTTATTCCTACAGTTATTTAGCTACGATGTTCTCATTATTGTATTAACTGTCAATCTATTTTCTATTTTACATTTTAAAATTCTTAATTGTTTTTATTCCCATAATCAGTAGCTTCCACAGTCATTATGGCAGTATTTCACTCTTGCAATCATAAACATGCATTTATACTTAAATTGACTGGCTTGGCTCCCCTCAAATGCTAGACTGAAGGTGTGGTTAACTTTCTGGGGCAGTTTTTCAGCCTCTGCACTATTGATATTTTCACTGGATAATTTTTTGTCATGCATCTGTCCTAGGCATTGTAGGATGGTTGGCAGCATTTCTGTCCTCTGTTCCCTAGATGCCAGTAGCAAATCTCCCCTGCTCCAGGTGAGACAATCAGAAAAAAATGTCTTCCGATATTGCCAGATATCCCCACCCAGGACAAAATCTCCCGGGTTGAGAACCACCACTGCCCTGAAATGGTAATTTCTAGTTTTCCCAAAGTAGTGTATTCTCTTTATTCATGAAAGAACCATCTGTGAGTTTTTGTTTTGCTTTGCCTGACATTACGTGCCAAGCTGTCTTTGTCTCTAGAGGAGAGGGTACTAGTTTATATGATAGAATCACTAGTTTTATTTTTGGCCGCCTCCTTCCTCCCTTTGTACTTTCCCAAGCTCTATAGCCTCCCTCGAGAAGCCCGAATCTTGTCTCCACTTCATTTTCCTCTTGGAGTGTTCCAGGCTGTGGCCTCCTCTGCTACCTCCATCCATCAGAATGCTTCCCCATTTTGTGGTTTCCAGAAATGGATTGAAATTTCTCATCCATTGGTGATCTTACTTACCGTTCTAGGTGCTGCAGTGGTTTATCCCCCTTTATTTTCTTTGCTGTCATTTTAAGGGCATCCTGAGACAGAAGCGCATGCTTACGTTCATCTGTCACCTACCTGGGAGCTGCACAGTTGTTTTAAAATAGAAACCTCGGAGAAGACTTGTCTTTTTCTATACTCAGCAAATATATTTAAGTGCCATGTTCTGACCCTTCCCCACTGACTCCCAACCTTTCTTTTCTAGGGCTCATTATCCTGGAACCCATTCAGTAAGGGATGCGAAGTTGACTGCGAAGAAGCTTTGGGCTTCTGAAGATTTTAGCACTTTAAATAGTGACGTGGGCGCAGGCTGCTGGGGTCGTATACTGAATCAGAATTACATCAATGGCTATATGACCTCGTAAGTTAGCAAAAATCTTTTAGGGTTTTTATTATGAAAAATTTATATAATAAGTAGAAAAAATGAACTTCTGTATTCTCACAACCTAGAATCAATGATTGTAAACATTTTGCCTTATTAGCTTCATCTACACCTATATGTATAGCTACTCTATATCTAATCTGTATCTATCTTTCTATATTTGAATATAGCCTGTATTAAAAATGTCTGGTTTATTGAAGTGTAATTTATATGTAGTGAAATGTGCAGCTCTCTGATTGTTGACAAGCTACATATGTTTTTAATGAACATTTATAAAGTAAATTACTTTATATATCTTGATACCTCACGTATATAAATATTTGAGCATGTGTCTCCAAAACATACGAATATTCTTCAGTATGACCACAGTATTATTTTCATACATAAGAGTACTTTTAAATATTTCTAATACCCCATTTATATTCACATTTTCTAATTGTCCCCCCAAATGTCATTTATAGCTATTTTTTAAAAGGAAGATCTAGTCAGGCACCATGCATTGCATTTAGAGCTTATGCCCTTCAAGTCTCTTTTAATCTAGAATAGTTTCCTTAATCCTCATTTTTTTATGACAATGATCTTTTGAGAGGACCAGTCCGGTTGTCTTGTGGCCTGTTCACTTCCCAGTCTGCCTGATTGATTCCTCATCACTTAACTTGTGTAATTGCTGGTTTACAAAACAGAGGTTCTTAAGCGAGAGCACAGCTCTGTTTATTTCTAATTGAAGCATTTCTTAAATGCTTTGAAAAATACTTTAATTGTAATTAGGTTCAAATTAGCTTTCTAAAATAATGATAAATAGAACAAAAACAAACCAATATATACATTTTTGTGACGTTAAT